CCGCGGAGGCTCGGCCTCTTGGATTACCCCGCCAGTTCGCGCGCGTGTGTGAGTGTGAGTGTGTGTGAGCTCGTGAGTGTGCGAGTGCGTGCACCCCGACGCAGTGCGAGGCGCCACGCCCCAGCACCGCGCAGCACCGCACTGCACCGCGCAGCACCGCGACACAACGAACTACTCGTCGTCTGACAGGTTTGCAGCCCGTATTTCCCCGCCTCGGACAATGCCAGTTGGCGCCGCGTCGCTGCGGCGGCACGATTCCGAACACCGCGTCTGTCCCTTTCGCGCTGCCAAGGGGGCGCCGCGTGAGTGCGAGAGAGACGGAGCCTGTTCGGATAGTCCCGTAAATCCGTTTGACGACGCCTCTTACTTTTTCTCCCGCGGCACTGCTGGTCCCTCTAGCCTAGCCTCCCAGGTGCGCGGCGCGTGGTTTAGGTGGGAACAGCCCTCCGGGCACGGCGGGCGCGGCGGGCACGGCAGCCACGTCCTCGAGCTCCACCCTTTCCCACGCAACGGGGCTTGAATCAGACACGTGACGCTACCGCCGACTTTTTTATTTCGACTATATTCTTCGTTCCTCGTACAGAAAATGAAATTACCTGGTGCGTTTCTTCTGCTCGAAATGCGTGGTACGCTCTTATCAGCCCAAGTCGAGTCTCACTGTGAGGGAGTCTGCTCCGCTTGTGGGGTGTTCTTTTTAGTACAAATATTTTTGATCCGAACTTTTCGCCTTTGTAGAAAAAAAATTCTTGGATCAAAATTAATCCTTTGGACAAAAAAAGAAACAAGGGAAAAAGGAAACCTTTCTTTGTGAGGAGTGCACCGATGGGGCACAGTCGAGGCAGGGCGGGGCGGGGCGGGGCGGGGTGGGGCGGACACCAAGCCGACAAACACGCTGGCACCCCACAGCGACGTAGCGGCGCCGCGATTCTATCGGCCAATTATAACCCGAATCTCGATGACGGAGGGGCGGATGACGTCATCTCCAGATCGCTGCGCTTAAAGCGGGACCTACCATTTCTCAGAGGCGGCGAGCAATGACGCCCAGAATACTTCGCCCCCGTTTCTGGATCGTCGCTTACTGCCAATGCAATTACTTCTGAAAAAGTAGAGTTTAGTATTCACTGCCGAAGGCACCGTACAGCATGCACTCCCCTGGAGCCTGCATCACCGCCTGCAGTGTGGTTTCGGGACAAAATGTAGGTTTCTGGAAGGTTTCTAGGGAAGCGAGCTTGGAGTCACGTTACATCTTAAGGCACCATTTTAGCAGCCTCATAGAACTACATTGCAGCAGCAGTTTTGAAATTGCCTTATTGTTTCTGGGCGCAACGACGCTCGCTGTCATTGGGGCGGGGCCGGTGATTGTAAACGGCATACCGGTGGGGGTGGACGCGGATGTTGTTAGGAGCGCGCTGTCGCATGTTTAACCGCACCGTCGGTTTGGCCTCCAAGAAGGCATCCGTAATCCAACGCCACCCGGAAGGGCGCGGCGGGTGGAGGCGTGCTCTGGGACTTTGGGGCGGGGCGGGGAGGGGCGGGGAGGGGTGGAGCGGAGCGTGGCGGGGTGGGTTGGTGCGGGGCGGGGCGGGGCGTTCCACTTGTTTTTAAGCGCGCCGTTAATCTTGGGATACCCGGCGTGGCGTTGGCCGGCTCGGTGCCACCCGGTCAGCAGCACACCCCACGCCAAGCTGCGCTCTGGAAATAAAGTGGCGGATTAACAAAAGGGAGAGAGAGAGAGAGAGAGAGAGAGAGAGAGAGAGAGAGAGAGAGACGGAAAGGCCTGGGGCAGTCGCGGCCAGGCGCCCAGCAGGCCCAGCAGTCGCGGCCGGCAGTCTACGCGGGCTCGCCGTCCGCCTCGACTAAGTGTCAATTTACTCAAGAAACAACAAGTCCAGTTTGCTCCGATGGGTGCCTCGCTGCGAGGCCGCGAGGCTGCGAAGCCATCATCGTCAGCACACTGTCAATGCTCGACAATGACCTGGGGGGGGGGGTGTCATATTTATTTTGCCGCCGCTGTCTTCTGCAGCATGCTCTGCTGACGCCCTGCAGCCGTACTTCCGCTTGAAACTCAATCCACGGTTTGCTGAACGTGACAAGGATTGCGGTCTTCCGGTGCAGCTTTGGTGGCTGTCGGCGGCCCGCCACGGTGTAAGAGGACAGTGTGCCGCCCCGGGGTCACGCCGCCACGCGTGCGAGTGAGACAGGCGGGCGATCGCTCGGACCCGGCCGGCCGGCGAAACGCATCATGACGCCTCTGATTTCGTTGATCGACTCGCGTCCTGCTGTTGTGAGTGACGGGAGGAAATGATGCGCTTTGCCTCGGGGGACCGCGCAAGACAGGAACGGCGACGCGAAGGAAAAGGGCTCGATCATTACTGGTGATTGAAACGCTTCAGGCGCCCGATTAAAACAAAATGCAAATCGGAATACAGGGGCTGGGGAAAAAATCCACTCAGGGGAGGGGCTGTAATTATAGTGCCCGGCGTAATTTTGTTGATGGCAACACGCTCTCTCTCTCTCTCTCTCTCTCTCTCTCTCTCTCTCTCTCTCTCTCTCTCTCTCTCTCTCTCTCTCTCTCTTACCCACACGCCTACATCCACCCTCCCTGAACTGTCTTTCTCACACACCCATGCCTACGCCCACGCTCACGATCTCTCACTCACACACCTATACCCACACTCCTCCATGATCTGTCTCTCTTCTCTCTCTCTCTCTCACACACACACGCACACACGCCACCGTGATCTCTCTCACACAGACAAGACTCGGAGCCCCCGCTCGCTAACACGGCGCGGCGGGCGGGCTGAAGGCAGCGCGGCGGTCGTGCCCCACGCGCTAGTTCGGGGAACTGGTTTAGGCGGGATCGACTGTCGGGCTGACAGGCATGTGTCTTACTCGCACGCGGCCTCTCTAAACGTGCGCATAATGTGTCCGGGGGCGGGGTTGAGGCGCGAGGCGGGTTGGGGTGGCCCAGATGGTGGGGCGCCCAGTTTGGTTTCTGGTCATTTTTCAGTCTGCGCCTGGCTGAACGAATCGGTCCTTTTTGGTTGAAAATTGACGCCTACACGCGTGCGACCAAACCGGCTAAAGCCGCCAGCGAAAGTAGTGGAAAGGGTGAAAGGGACACTCTAAATGTTGTACAGTCAAGATTCTCCATATTCTGATGAAAATGTTCCATGTTATGGTGGAGCAGCTGGCTAACATAGCATTGAGAAGTCACTGTACCTTAGATACTTTAACGAATTTTGTTGGTATCATGGAGAAAATCCCCACCATAATATGTTTGGTGCAGCATTTCACCGCAAGACATTTACAGTGGAGAGACTGCACCAGTGAACCCTTTTGTCCGAATGGAAGCGAATTAGGAAACAGAAATAATGCACTAGGCGGTGGCAGTTCGTTTTCATTCCTTGAGCGAGCCGTCTGCACGCCATGCGCATTTAGTCCACTTAGCGGCTGCATGATTAATCGGCATGCATGACCACAAAAGAGTGCTAAATTTGTCTGGACTTTGGACTACTGACTGCAGTTTTCTTAACATTTTTGATGCCCTGTCACGCCCAGGGCGCGGTATTGCGTCGTCCTTGGCCCGGGGAGCGTTTCCCATCTTATGAGTCCTGCACGGCCTGCACGCGACGCGCAGTTAGTCGTCTAATCGGTGGCTGCATGATTAAAGGCATGGCTCGCGTGCAAGGGGTGGACGTGGCGCTTTGACCGTGGAGGTGAGCAAGCGTACCGGAGGCGAAAGCAGATCCTCACACTCCACAGGCGGCCCACCGTGGACGCGGAAGCCCAGGGCACCCAGCCGAAAATCCCGGTTACGGTTCCGGAGAAAATCTCCGCTTACGATCGTAAATCGCCCCAAATTTTCCGGTTGCGATCGGAAACCGGACCTAATTTACGGTTACGGTCGGTCACGTCCCGGTTACGATCGGACTTGTTCCGGTTACGATCGGACTCGTTCCGGTTACGACCGGACCCATTCCGGTTACGATCGGACCAGATCCGGGTCCGAGGCCGGACTCGAAGAAGCATGTCCCATGCGTTTAAGTCTCCAGCGAATTTTCAGAAACACTCCATAACTTGTGAACGGTAACTTATAATAAATTTCTGAAGTCAAAATTGGGCGTAGCTCGCAAAGTTTACCCTGTGGTCATGCATATATAGCGCGGATCTCTGCTTGATGGAGCACCACAGAAGACAAACTTGATGTCTTGTGACACTTTGTACTCCGACCGGAATGGTCAGTTACGGTCGTAAACCCTTCCTGGTTACGATCGTAGTCGTAACCGGAAATGTCCGAAATTACGGTCGTAATCGTATTCCGGCCGGAATCGTATCCCGGTCGGAATCCTATCCCGGTCGTAACCGTACTCGGAACCGTAACCGGGATTTTCGGCTGGGCACTGCTTACATCTCGAGAGCCGCACTGCGCACCCGCGACCTATTGCGCCACAGGCTGCTTCTCGCGGCAATGAGACTCCCGTTTGTCCGTTGGGTAGTTGCGTTTGAGGCAAGACAACTTGGAATTAATTAATTAATATTTTATGGATATTACCCCGAAATGCGTTTGTCTTTGTTTCTGTTTGTGAATCCAGTTTTCGCTTTAAGATTTGTTTTAGGCTTTTCTCCGCCATAAATGAGAGTCTAATAAAATGATTTTAAGTATTGTTTTATGACTTCCTCGCCAAGGTAGAAACTAACCGCTTATGTTTTCAGTCTTGTCACGTGACACAATTTTGACGCGGTCTCACACATTTTTGAGCATGCGAACTTTGTCGTACCCACAAGGCCGCACAAATGCGTGTGATTGCGAATAAATTTGTACTAAAAGCCGCAAAAAGCACGTATCTGCAAAATGTTGTGCGACCACGCTCAAAAATTGCATAAAGGAATTTGGTGTTCACAATGCGATTGCCATCTTGGTAAGAGGGTGTAGCAACAAACTTTGCTGAATATTTTAAGTGCGTGCGGTGGTACAGATAGTGCTGTGCGCCTTCGGGATGGCGAAGTATGACCGTACCGACGTGGCGGGGCTTCTCCAAAAACTCGGGGACTTGTTGGCCTTCCTATCCATGGCCGTGCTGTACATATCTATGTCCAAATTTCGAAGAAATTACGAGGCGTTGCTGGATCGAGCCTTGCCAACTATGGGTAAGAGGAATTGAATGGGCGATGGTGGTGACTCTTTAATTCTCAGTGTAGATTTTAAAATGCCTCCGGTTTCCTTGTATTGGAAAGCGTTGCTTCGCTGATTTCATTGTGTACTGTATACTGGATTCAAACTTGTCTTGTCCCCGTAGCGAGTCTTGAAGAAAAGGCAACTCCTAGCTTTGCCAAGGAAGTAAATCGGTCGCTGAACGGAGCACGAGTGCAGTTTACTTGCACTCTTGTGTTGCAAACGTGCGGCATCTGTGGCGTGTTGATTATTCCATTCGCTACTGGGGACACGTTTTTCGAGTTTTGGCCACCAGCAAAAGACCATGGGTAAGCGCTAGTACTTATTTTTAATCCACGAAGTCGATTGCGATGATTGTCTGACGTATGATAATCTGTCACTGTTCGGCCCACCGCACTCTAAAAACCTTCCTAATTACTATTTTACCTTGCAATGATAAGTTGCTTGTTATCGACGAATTTTGAGTAAACATAAGCTAACAAAGAAAATACTTTCGTAGCTTTTAATCTGTTATTTTCGTACTACAGAGTAAATAGTAGTTTGTACCTAACATATGCTCTAAATACTTCGGAAGGTTTTAAGCGTGTGGCTCTCTTACTTCTCCCGTTTATTTGTCAACGTTGATCTTATTGAAATGGTGTCCGAATTGTTTTATCTCGTGCACACTACAAAGCCTTCGAGAGTGGCGCAGGTGCTCCAGCAGGTGCTGGTTCTCATTAAATTGCTGCTTTTGGCTATTCCAGGTTGTTCCTTGCAAAGTATGCCCTGCAAGTGTACGCTTTTCTTCCATGCATGCTTTGCATCATTATGTATCAAAACGCCCATGCAGTGTCCATAGCGGCACTTGAGGCGATGTTCCGGCACCTCGCTAACTTCATAGGAATGATTGGGCCGGACCTCCCTGCACATCTGTCAGTCGCCAAATTGACTCGGCTCCACAGCCAGGTACTCCTACTGGCCGCGGTAAGAAAACGCAACTGCCGTTGCAAGTCCTTGCTACGGACAATCTACACAGACACCCAGAGCCAAGCAAAGTTTTGGGTCTGACGTAGTGATGACATTTTTGTCGAAATGTGAAGTGAGTCACGTATGGCAGGCGACTTTTTGAGATGCAATGACACGCGTGTCATTTTCAGTCGAATGCGACTTGACATTCCGGCGAACGTGACGCAGTTCACACATATTGAGACTTACGTGACACTGCTTTTTTTCTAACGATCGTGACGTCACATTTGTTGAGGATGATGGCTGACCGATAGCAAAGCCACTTGGCTGAGTCGGGTCAAAAAACCAACATTTTAAGTCTGTCGCGTACGATAGAATACATATTTTAATCCTTCCTCTTTCAGGACCTAAATAGAATATTCAGCTACTACCTCCTGACTGCCTTCTGGGCGGGAAGTGCGATAGCCATGGCGAGCGCCTTGCGGCTTCTTGTCAGTGGAGTGGACACACGGGGTGCCATCACCATCGTCGTTGTCCCAGTGGGCTATTTCTGGGTCTGCCATTTGGGGGAGAGGCTGGCCAAAGCAAGTGAATCAATCTCCGAAGCCGCCTACTTCGGCGACTGGCTGAGCCTCTCAGTGCCTGAAAGGAAGATGATTCTGTTTCAAATGCAGCGCGCTCATCGACCAGAGGTGTGGACTCATGGACCAGTTTTGGAAGATTTTGATGTTTATCACTAAACAGGCTGGACATCCTGACATTGGCCTCATGTTTTCAATCTGATGCTCAAGCGTTGCGCGATTTATTAAGTTTATTTATTTAGAGCAAACTGCACATCAAATGTCTATGGACTATTTTTGTTTGATTAATTGTTTTCGTCTGTACACACTGTGCTAAGAATTTTCTTGAAACGCGCAACCTTACCAATCCAGTTTAATTTTGCAGACCGTTGTCGTTCCTTTCGTTGGTGCCATGACCCTGGCCTTCTTCATGACAACCGTGAACTTCTGGTACAATAACGTCGCCGTGCTGCGGAAGATCATCAGAAGCTAGCCGTCAAAATGATGCCGCTGAACGATAGTTAACACGTAGTACGCACTTCGTGCCTTCTAAGGAAAGCTTTGTTCTCCAATCAGAATAGGGTTGGAAGAATAGTCTTACATTCACTTCTGCATTTGTGTTTCACAGAATTTTGTGTTTCGAATAAATGAAACCTGTAGAAAAAAAAGAGAAGAATGGACAATGATCTTCTGTTCTTTAGCCAACAACTGTTTATTTTTAAAAGACTGTAGAGTTCAACACTCAAAAAACTACAAGTAAGTGTAATCCTTGCAAAGGACAAGAGCAACGGCCAACCGATGTGAGGACGGAGAGCTCCACACTTGAAGTGTGGGGACTGCAAACTGTGCACTGCCAAGTGCGGTGACTTCAAATTCCACACCTCCGCATTTCAAGTATGGTGTTCTCCACTCTTGGTTTTCACAGTGCACGTGCGTGCCCTGGCCACAGTTTCTAAGAAGCAACAAAGTTTGCCTCTTAGCCGCCGCTCTTCGCTCCGGTTCAGCTGATATCTCATCATGACATGTGTCTCGGCTGGGCGGATTGAATCCGCCCTGAATCCACACGCATGTGGCCGTGCACGGCGAGGCGAGGCGCTCCTTCCTCTTTTTGGGAAGCGCGTTTGCTCACGCGCGGAACAAGTTTAAAGGCTGAAGCGGGGCGCCTGCAGGGACGGGGCCACGTTATGCGAGTCCGACCCCCTTCGGCCCCGCGCCGCCCATCCATCTCCGTCAGCGCTCAGGCAGTCGTCGGCCTGTCTCTCTCGCACTCATTGGGCGTCCCGCATGGCTGCGAGGGAGACGGAGTGACGAAAACGACTCTCGGACTTCTGGCTCGGCCCAACACGGCATTCTTGGCGCGACACTGAACGATCCGGCGCGCAGGGCCATGCAGGCCGTGCAGCGACAAGTCGCGCACTTTGCGCGCCAAAATGATCGCCGCGGTGAAGAGGGGAAAAGGAGGGTGGGCACGCCGCGCCCCAAAGTTGGAGCAGAACTCGAATCTCGGTGTTTGAGGAATGTTCATCTCCATCACTGATGCAAAGACAACACGCGATGAGGCCGGATCCAGGCCGCGTCCCGGCGATTGCAGCGAGAGCAAGCGGCGGAGCAGCGGCCTTTCCGGAAGTTTCCGGAACACAGAACCTCCATTAACTATGAATTCAATAATGATTGCGGGCTGACATGAGGAAGGAGCCTGGAGAGAGAGAGGGAGAGAGAGAGAGAGAGAGAGAGAGAGAGAGAGAGAGAGAGAGAGAGAAGCGAGGCGTCATTGTGTCTCATATTTTCATAAAAGGAAAACCTGCCCTTCAGTTGAAGAAAGGATTCTGCAAATTCTTTTGGTCTAAGTGTGAAGTATTGCCCCGCAATTTGATCAGGTTTTCAGACAGTTTTCTGACATTCTGACAAGATTTACACGAGTGAGGCTAAAGAACGTTATTTGTAGGCATCGAACTGTTTCGTCTTCCCTGACCCAAAGCAAATAACTGACTGGCAGTCAGTCGCTTGGCTCGTCTGTGGGCCCAAACCTGAGCAGAGCCTCTGCCTCTGGATTGAATATTGATCCTTCGCGAGGCGCAGATGTCTTCTAGCTCGCAGCCCTGCGACGTGCGGCCCGCGGCGGCGTGTGGTACCCCGGGGTTCACGCCTTGCTCGCGCCTTGCTCGTGCGGACCAGGCCGACTCGGGCACGGAGAAGTGTAAGGCGGGCCCAGCTGAAGACAGAGCCTAACCCGTTTTGCGAAAGCTTCACGCCACGACCCGACGCTGTTATTCAGCCATTCGTTGCAAAAACCTTACAAACGGTTTTAGGCATCAGAAGAAGATGAAGCTTGGTTTGAGATTTGAGCGTACCTAATCTGACAAAGAAAATACTGCGTGATTTACGAACACGTTCTTCGTTTAAATTGCTGAGTGGTTTGCACCAGACAAAACATAGTTTTACTCCAGCGCACCCGCCCGATCGCGGTGTGCAGAATCTGGAGCGTGCTGTGAGTTTGACCGCTGACAACGGTCCCAGCAACTCTCTGGAGTCGAAGCGGGGCGCGTCATGTATCCGCGGAAACATTTTTACAGAAGTTGTCCGGGGAAACCCGTTTATGGCAGGATAAATGGCAGGGGAGGAGAGGTGGGGTCGGGGGGAGGGCGTCCTAGGCCTGTGCCCTATGTCCCGTGAACCAATGAGCCTTTCATTCGGCAAGAAGTGAGTTGGAGCCGGCCCAACCAGCCTCCCCAGCCCTCCATCCTTGCCGTCCCAGGGACCTAATGATCTTCCTGCGAAGTTTGCGAATACACTTCCCGTTATGGCGAATTTAGCTGCAAGCGGGGAAAAGATCAAGTTTTCAATATTGGAGTTCTCGCAAGCCGAGCGGCGCGCGAGCTCGCCTCGGAACGGTCGGCTAGTGTTTCACTACAGCCCTGAAAGTCAGCCACACTTTAATTTAGAGTGTAGCGCGCTTCCTGATTTGCCGATTGGATTAACCTGTAGCGCTTATGAATTTGGGCCGAAGGAGTGACTTTGGGGAGGCGTTACACTGCTCGAACCAGCGTGGCGTTTCCAAGAATTTGGTAGCTTATCAGAAGGAACGTCATCGCAGTGGAGTATCTCAGTGAATCCTTGACCAGAAGGAACAACAAAAAGTCCTCACACAGTGTGTTGCAAATTCATATTGGGGTGGAGGTAGACTTGCTTTCTTAGTTTTGGTCTAGGATTCGCTAAAATACCCAGGAGGGAATTTTCGATTTTATCACGAGGACCCCTGAAGTGGTTTGGACGGCGAGGCATGGCGTGGGCACCAGCGGCCAGCGGCCTCCCCTACCTACAGTCCGAAATGGATGAGCCAACATGTAGCAGAGCAGCCAGAGCCGAAGAGGGTGCGCTCGGTAGGCCCGTGTTCTTTGGGTTGTTCATCCCCCCGCGCCACACCACGCCACGCCCTTCCTGCTGTGATAAACGCTCCCTGTCTCGTGTCCCTGTCAGTCTGCCTGCAGTTAAGCGTCGCTTTACTGTGGCTTCAACATTCATATTGTTTTGACAAATACGGTTTTATTGAAAAACTTGTGAGAACAAAGTGCCAGAAAAAAAAATCCACAGCCTTCGTTTCAAGCAGTACTTGCAGCCATTCTCGTCGATTCTAGTTTTTTTTTCCTGGACAAGTGTTTGCATTCGTTTTTGCCACGAAGAAGTATCTGGCTGGATACCAAGGGAACGCACGTTTTTGGTGCCGCAAAAAAGGGGAGCGAGAATATGCGCTTCGCTGTAACCGGCATGGTTGCTGAGAGATTGGCTCCAAGAAGGCCCACCCACCCCTCCCCCTGGCCCTGTCCGCCTCCTGGACGCCCCCACCCCCTGCCGACCTCGGCGCCGACAGTGACTGGCGACGGTTGTCCCTCCGGGCAGACCGACGTGTTTTCGGCCGGCTTCTGGTCACATAATGACCAGGTGGATTCGCTCTCACAGTGTGCTCTAAACGGTCGGGCGACCTACGCCAGGGCCCGCGGCGGCATCCGACATGTTGCTCTCGACTGAGCCAGCGCCCAGAGCGAGGGCAGTGTGTGTAATCGCCGACAAGTTTGCTCGTCACATCCAACGCTGTCGCCTCGAGGATGTGCGGAACCGCCTTCTTTTTGGAGCAGGAACCAAACACAGCTTCCGCTGTGGAATAAATAAATTGGGAACCCGAGGAAATTAGAGAAGGTACCTCCGGAAAAGAGTTGCTGAAGGTTCCTTTCCTGAATTCATGGAGATTATTTGTCAATTCACGAAGATTCTTGTGTCAAGTCATGAAAGTTCTGTTTCAATTCACGTACATTCTTTGCCAGTTTACGTAGAATCTTTGTCAATTTACGTAGATCCGAATAAGGTTCGTTGCCACTTTACAAAGATTCACGAAAAATCATCGTGAAAAGAGGAATGATCCCCGCAAAGATACGAACCATGTGAATTGACTACGATTTATGGTTTTTGGATGTTCGAAGATTGGCCAGAGGGTCGGGGTGGGCGCTGGAAGCAACGCCACTCCCTTCTTCTAGTGATAACACGGCCCCTTCCCTCTCCGTCATGCTGTCGTAATGGGCCAGGCCGTGTTGGCAGTGTCACTGTGTCACTGCCGCTGCCGTGTGCGCAGCCAACATCTAATGGGAGCTCTCCAGCCGCCCCGCCCCGCCCCACCCCGCCCCGCCCCGCCGCAGCCTAGCCAGTCCAGCATCCGGGCCGCAGCCCGGCTGAAGACTCAACCGGCTGTTCCGCGGACCGGGGGGCACACCGGGCGGTGCACCGGGCCGGTGAGCGATGCGCGGCATGAGGCTGGCGTCGGCACGGTAGTCGCCGCGAAGCCTGCCAAGACCGACCCGATGACGACCGTCCCCACGCCGCGGAGCCGTGGCGCAGCTATTCCGAGAGGGCTCCACCCCACCGCACCCCGCCCCACGTCTCACGGCACGCCTGTCTCCTCTTCCGCCGCCCACTATCGATACACTATCAAGCTGCAGCGATATGAACGGACGAGGGAAGTGGGCCGCGCGGCCACGGACTTGGCCACGGACGACTCGCCTGCGCGAGTGCGCACTCACTATGGTGCCCACGCCACTGGACCCCAAGTGTGGAGAACACTTCCGTAGCTGTCGGTTATAACCGCGTATCTACCGTGGGATTCCCTATGAACATACGTTGCTATGTCAGGTGACCACTCACTTGGGTTCGTGGAGTTCGCAGTCTCCACACTGAAATCACAGTTGTCTATTTGCATGGTGCAAACGTGGGAGACGCCACACTTCAGAGTGTGGAGAAAGCAAGCTGCTCTTCCAAGTGCGGAGGCTGAAAATATCTTACCATGCATTTCGTTCGAAGCTGAGTTCTCCACTCCTGGTTTTACAGTGACCACTCAGGTGGCGTCTTAGAAGGGTGTCTCTACAATGTTGCCGCCTCCAGGACTTCCGTCCCACCTGAGGGACGCCCTCGCCGCCGTCCCACAGGGCTCTGTTAGCGGACGTCCATCCATTTCCGGTCCGAACGCGAACGGCTGCAGACCACTTG